ATATATATATATATATATATATATATATATATATATATCTTTGAAATTGAATCTTGAAATGCTTCGAAACAGAGACATATTGTCCCAATTGAAAAAATAGAATGCCCACTGGAACATAATTTACTACTTTGGATTAAAACTAAATTAAGGTTTTTCATAAAAATTTTAACCCATAATTTGATTATTATTAGTTTATAATTACCCTTGCTAAGTTAGAAACTAGAGGCAAATAAGGCTATTTTAACATCTATACTCTTCAGCACTTAATCACTGACAATTATTTAAAAGAGTTTAGTGTTTTTTTATGATATTAAAAAAATCAAATGTAATTACATTAAACCTGTTGGTGAGTGATTATGTTAATTTAAAAATTTAGTTAAAGAGACAAAAATAGATACATTATTTTACTAGCTTAGATCTTAATAAGCATTTGAATCTTTTGTGTGTGATAGTATCAATGTCTTTTTTGTTTCTTTTCGAATAAATTTGCCATGAAAATAAATGCAACTTGAATTTAGTAGTTATTGCAATTAAGATAAGTTTCTAAGAAAAATAGTTCATAATTCATGATTTTTTTTTTGTATTTTTAGCATAGTAAAAAAATGGGTAAGGTAACGTAATGAAGAAAATAATTAAGGATATAACATAGTTTTAAAAGTTGCAATTTCCATCTCTGATACGCAAGTTGCAGGTTAGAAATGTAACTGTTATTTCACATTTATTATCCCTAACATGTGACTCGTAGATCACATATATAACTTTATTTAAATTAATACCTAAAGCCCTTTTCTTCAATTTTTATCCATTTGTTTCCCTTTTTTTTTTCTTCTTAACACTACCTGGCTCTCTCTTTTCTCCACAATCAGTGACCTTCCTCTCTCTTTTTTTAGTACAAAACATACAGAAAATCACCCATCTTTCTCTCTCTGCATCGCAGGTCAACCTATTTCTTTTTAGTACAAAACATACACAAAATACCACAAAATCACCCATCTCTCTCTCTCTGCATCGCAGGTCAACCTATTTTCAGCTAAAAGACCCCCATCGATCACCATCACCAACCACACTCTACACTTATAGGTATATTGAATACTTTTTCTCTATCAATTTGATGTAATTTGTACTAATGTGTGTTAGTTTGATTTCATAAAATATTAGGGTTTTAAATTATAGATTTTTTTAAAAAAAGATTTTTATAATTTAGTTAATGAGATATAATTTGAGTTGATAATTAACTTATTTTGTAAAATAATCAATGATGTTAGGTTGTTGTTGATTGTGAATTAATAAAATTATTTTGTTAAAGTTAGTTTTGATTTAGGTTAAATTATTGATTACATCGAATTAGGTATAAAATAAAATAATTGACTATGAAATACAAGAATTGGATTGATAAAAAATAAGATAATTAGCTATGAAATATAAGAATTAGATTGATAATTTTGTTATGGTAGTAAAATTTGATGAATTTAGGTTTTAACCAATTATATATGTTATGGTTATATTGATAAATTATGCACTTAATAAATTATATTTGTATTTTATTGTGTTGTTTGATAGTATGTTTGATAATTTAGGAACAACATGCTTTCATGATGTTATCGTTATCAGTACCGGTAATGATATCATTTATAATGGAGGAATCTGTAAATTTCTATTTGTTATATTAAACATGTATCTTAAGGAGTTATCTAGAATGTTATATGATCAAACTGACTGGAATATGTTTGAAATAGAAGTTAAAATTACTTAGAGGATATTATAAACCAGGGTCAGTCAAGCTCGTTATGTCGATATACCAATATATAGTGATGGAAGTGTGAATTCAATGTTTAGGTTTCTAAAGATTAATGGTATTAATATACTTGAGCTATTATCAAAGAAAAGACAAAAGTAATTTAAGTTGGTTTTAGATTTGTTTCATCGATACGTGATTAGTGGTCGCACTGAGTTATATATTATATCAAACAAATATGCAATGATTAAGAATCTCATGGCAAGGATTTTTCCCGAGCCTATGTTTTATTTTTCATCTTCTTTTTCATAATATCTCTTTCACCTAGATTTGTCTTGTGAATTTATGACTTTAAATAACATTACCTAGCTTATCGAGTGTTGATATTATGAAACCAAATTATAATTATTATTAGAAATAGTAATCAAAAGAATGGACATCAAATTTAGCACAAAAAAATAAGAAGCCACTTTGCTATTTTTAAGAAGGTTAGGAAGGAAAAAAAATGAGATGAGAGAGAAAAATAAAGAGAAGAGAGCATAGAAAGAATGAGTAGTCAAAGATACATGAAGAGAATAGAGCATAAAAAGAATAGGTAGTCAAAGACACATCGGAGACTTTGTGCGTGTATGGTACATAATTTAGCCACATCTCCACTTCACTCCTTAGTTTGGTAAAAAAAAAAAAAAGGGTGGACATTTGTCTCTATTTCAAGTTTGGTTTCTTACAGATTCAATTGTTTCAAATCGATAAAATTGTATTTTATTTTCTTAAGCTAAGCATTCGCCAAACCTATAATTTTTTCTCAACACTGAGAGAACCTAGATCAAGCAAAATACACAAATCATCAAGTCCAATCTTGCATATACAATACGTGAAAGGATCAAATTGAAAAAAGAGAGAGTGAGTGATAAAAAAAAATAAGGTGAACATTTAGTCTTTAATTTGGTAAAAAAAAAAAGATGAACATTTGTTTGAGTTTTAAATTCAATCCCTAAAGCTTTAATTATTTTAAATAAATTAAATTAAATTTTATTTTGCAAAATCAATAATTAATAGAGCTTCATATGTTTTCTTAACATCGTAGAAACTCAACATTAAGCTAACAAAAATAAATCATTAAACTCAATTCTAAATCAACTCAATATGAAAAGATCATATTGAAAAAAAAAGGTTAAGCACCTAATAAAATTTAAAAGGTAGAAAAAATAAAATAGAAAATATTATGAGTAACTATTGTGTCAATATTTGATCGCATCTTTCTCTTATGTTTCATTTTCATCCTTTTTCCTCTAATATCTCTTATACCTTGCATTGTGTTACGCGCTCATAATTTCAAACAACATCTTCTGGTTTACTAAGTATCAATTTTTTGAAATTGAACATAATTGTTGTTCAAAATAAAAATTAAAAGAATGAGAACTAAATTTCACACTTAAAATAACTGACAAGTCACTTTTCTATTTTGAAAAGAGAAAGGGATGGAAACAAATGAGATGAGAGAGAAAATAGAAAGGAGAAGAAAGTAAATAAGAATGGCTCATCGAAGCCATGTTAGAGCCTTGCTATCATCATGTGCCACCTTATAAGAAAGTCCTCATTGAGACATTCTCAACATCACCAATGAAGGCCGTTATTGGAGCCTAAAGGAAGTTGCATGCGCCATTATAGTGTCACAACGTCATTCACACCATGGTGTGTATTGTACACGCGCCAATCATTTCTCTACTTAACTTAATGGTTTGGCAAAAAAAAAGGACAAATTTGTTTTAATTTTAAATTTGATCCCTAAAGATTCAATTGTTTCAAATCAATAAAATTGCATTTTATTTTTCCACACCAAGTATTAATTAAGCCCTATAGTTTTTTGTTGACACCAAAAAAAAGCCAAAACAAATATAAAAATATAAATAATCAACTCCAATCCTCCATCAACAATATGTGAAAGGATGAAATAAAAAAAAATTATGTGACAAAAAAAAGGTTGAACATTTAGTCTTGATTTGGCAAAAAAAAAAAACAAAGAAATTTGTACATTTATTTAAAGCTTCAATTATTTTAAATAAATTAAATTTTATTTTATTTTTCTAAATCAAATTAATAAGTTTTGTATTATTGTTTCTCAATATCATAGGAACCCAACAACAAGCCAACAGAACAAACTAGTAAGTCTAATCTTATATCAGCTCAACGTGAAAGGATTAAATTAAAAAAAAATAGTCAAGTGATGAAAACAAACATTGTAGAAAACTATTACAATCCATAATATTTTACATATTGGTCTATAGTAAAACCAAGAAATGTTTTAGTTTCTTTTAATTTAATTTATTTATTAGTTTTGTTTAACAACTACGGTGTTGTTATCAAAATTATCTTTTTCAATTTGACGTCTCACGATCATCTGGATATACTTATATAATGAATAAATGCATTATACTAGTTAACATATACTAAAAAGGCTTGGTTTTTTACTTTAGCAAGGAACAGTGAAAAATTAAGCTTTTTTTTTCATTTTAGTCTATGAAATTTAAAAATAAATAATTTTTTTTTGTTTAATTTCATCCTTCAATATTAGTTTTATTGGATATTGGGATCCATAATTTATTTGATTTACTTTCTATGAAGTTTTTCAGATATAACCCTGTTGAAAGTTTTACGGGGTAACCAAGTTGACTCAATTTACTTTTATCTTCTTTTAATTATTTTTAATTATAATTTTATCCTTCAATATTGAGTTTATTATGGATTGGGCTTCATAATTATTATTTTTTTAATTTTTTCTATGGGATTATCAAGATTTTATAATTCATATCATGAGTATTTCAAGCTAGCCATATTATCATTGGGTTTTTTTATCCTTTTTTAATTGAATATTTTTTTTCAATTTCATCCTTTAATACTAGGTTAATTGAAAATTAATTATTTTTATTTTTATTTTTTCTATAAAATTATATTAATTTCTTGACCCTGGTTCAATAGATTAACTCTAGTTTACTCATAGTATTTTTTTATATATATTTTTTAATTTAATCCTTTATTTTTTTATGTAGAATTTGGATTTAATTTTTTTTATTAGTTTTATATAGGGTTATCATGATTTTATAACCTATATTGCGAGCTAAATCAATTGAGTCAAAGGGGGTTTGTCATTTTTATAATTGATTTGTTTAAAATTTTATCATGTAATATTGAGTTGATTAGAAATTTGTTTTTATAATTTGTTTTATTTTATATCTTATAAGGTTATTATAATCTCATAATCATAGTTATGAGTTTGGTCAGTTGAGTCATGTGGCTTTTTATATATATTTTTTAATTTTCTTCTTCAGCATTGGTTTAATTAGGAATTAAGCTTCATAATTCATTTTAATCTTTTTTATAAGAAGTTATCTCGGTTTTATTATCTATTATTAAATTATTAAAAAATTAAATTAAAAAATTAAAAACAAAAAATATCCTCAGTCAATTGGAGTTAACCTGTCAAACTTGGATCATACGACTTGAATAACTCCATAGAAATAAAATAAAAAAATTATGAAATTAAATTTTCAACCAATCTAATTTTGAAAGATGAAATTGAAAAAAAAAATATTTAATTAAAAAATTAAAAAAAACCGAGTAAACCTAGTTAATCTATAAAACTTACAACCCAAGTTATAAGACTATTATAACCTCATAGAAAAAATAAAACAAAAATATTAAGCTCCATTCCTAATTAACCTAATGTTTAATGATGAAGTTTAGAAAAAAAATCAATTAAAAAATAAAAAAATTCAAATTAACTTGAATTAATTATCAAACAAACATATGAAATTATGATAATTCTATATAAAATAAACCAAGATAAATTAAGAAATTCAATACCCATTAAATACCATATTGGAGAATAAAAATAAAAAATTGAAATCAAATTAAAAAAAATCAAAAAATTTCAATGCCTTTTATTACGTGTTAATTAATTAATAATATGGCTATATGGAACCCTTTTGCTCGGGGGTCAGATGTCAACCATGTTAATCATAAAGAAAACTAAAATCTAGATGGATTTCTATACTAAGGGTGTTTTTTCCGGAAAAAACTTGACTTTCGAAGACATTTTGTACATTTCATTAATTTTTAATTGTTTATACTGGCAAGCATTTTCTATTCCGCCTTGGTTCATTTTTTTATTCCACTAAAGAGAGATATTCTTAAAACACTTTAAAAAATTTCTATGATACTAGTTTGCTAGGCCACTTCATGCTACAACTTAGAAAAAGATTTATATTGAGGTTAAAAAAAAATTATTTAATATTGTTACTAAGATGTAACGACTCAATTTTAAAATTTTTTAATTTTTAAATTATTTAGTTTAGATTTAAAATTAACTTGTGTAGAAATTATCTCAATATAATTTAATTAATTTGACGAATTCAAAAACAACCCGGATAACAGATAAAAAGGCATCCTTAACTTTAAAAAAATTAAAGATGATATTTTTTTTTAATATTGAGATAATGACATATATGATCAACTCGAGTTTTACGGCTTCATCTATTAAACTTGCAACTCGAATAAAAAACTTTATTAAATTTAATAAAATTATTTTGTAAAATTATTTTTTCCTTAATGATATTATAACAAAAATGGATATAAAGATTTTTTTTTCCTGATTATAATAACTTCATAAAAAACAAACTGAAATAATTTATAAAGATTAATTCAAAACTAATCAAATGTTAAAAGATAAAATTAAAATAAAATAATTCAAAAAAAATCAATAAAAAAACAAAAAAGAAGAAGTTTAAACCAACAGGTTAACCTTGAAACCTTTAAACCTAATTCTTTACATAACCTGAGTTGAAAGTTAACTTATATGAAAGTTGTCTGGATGTAACTCAAATAATTTGACAAATCTAAAAGTAACTCAAACAACTAGTAAAAAACATGATTTTGATTTTAAAAAAATATTGATGATATTTTTTTAATATTAAAATGATGATACATTGGATAGATCAGAGCTTCCGGGTTTAACCAATGTTCCTGATCATGAATTTCATTGGGTTTAATCATTTTCTTGTAATTATTTTTTACTTAAAAATATAATAATAAAAATGTTTACTTGAGATTACGATAATTTTATATAAATCAAATCAAAATAAATTATAAAATTATTGAAGCATAAAATAAAAAAAAAACAAACAAGATTGAAAGAAAAATAATAAAAGGTAGAATTAAAAATAAAAACCTCAAAAAAAACAAGAGATTGAAAGAAAAATTATAAAAGGTAGAATTAAAAATAAAAACCTCACTCTTAGATGACTTTAAATTTTTTTCTATAATATCATAATGTTACTCGGTCATTTTCTTTTTATTCTTTTTGCCTTTCATTTTTTGTATTTTAAAGCTGGTAGTTTCATAAACTTAAGTTGTTGAAAAAATAATTTGTTACCTAAAAAAATTAAGATCATTGAGCTCAATTATTTTGGTTTTTTTTTAATCAAAAAGTATTTTTCTACCACCCTTAATGCAATGGGATTGTCAATATATCATTATCAAGTTTTGCTTTTTTTCTCTCGACTTTTATTTATAAAAGGTGTATGGGTAGTTTTATTTTAATTCATATGTGTATAAATTGCAGGCGCAAATGGCTGGGGCTCTGTGAGGGATGGAGTTAGAACTTTGAAGGGCAGTGAGCCTTAATGTAAAGGTCGATTTTCCTCTGGGCTTTATGCCCTCAGTGAAACTGGACATATGCCTTGTTTTTTGGGCCGAATAAAATCTGGGTGTTATAGGTCTTTTGTCTCGGGCATAAATCAAAGCAGCAGAAGTAGGCACACCGATTATCAAAGGTAAAGCTCTCAGATTTCGCATTTCATAGTCTTTGTTTCCCAGTTCAGAATTTTATAGGGTTCAGTATTAAATTCATGTATATCTTCTCTTTGATTTTACAGATATTTCTTTTTTCTTATCCATTTAGTTCCATTGTTTTAGTTTTGCATTAGTTTCTTTTCTGTTATTGAATGGGCTAGTCAAGCTGCATGATTTGGTTCCCTTTTGCAGTTATATGGCTTTATCTGTTTGTACCTTTCAATGTCTACTTGTCAGTTGTGTATCTCCAGATTGGTGGGGGTGAGGATTTTATCATCGAATTCTCTACTTTATCAACAGACCCCTTGTTCGTGCTGTGAGTTGTGACCGAGGAGTCGGGAATTAGCAGGCATTAACATTGGGGCTCCTGTATTTTTTTTTCCAGAGCCAAAAAGCCCTTGATTTGTTTGTTACTAAGAGACTAAAGTCAGGTGCCTTTCAAATTTCTTTGTTAACTTGGTTTATTACTTTTGAGTATGTATCAAAATGTTAATTTGATTAGTTAACTAGGATCAGCTCATTTATTTAACAAAGAAAAGTATTAATTAATTTGATATTCATGGCTTTGTGTGTTTTTAAAAGTAAACATTATCAGTTTTTGGAAAATAAGACAAGATGGAAAGATACATAGAAGCCATTATTTTTCAGTTTTTGTTTTCGGGTAAATGTCTGAATCCGAGCCTGTCTTGTTCTCCAATACTCTTGCCTTTTGCTTGGTCTGATTCTTATATATTTTTGATGAGGTATGGATTTTTGATGAGGTATTTTCTAAGAGGAATTGAACTCTCTTTTTACTTGTCGCTCAACAGTCTTTGATTCTCTCTCCCGTTGAAGGAAGTAGAGATGGCAGGAGTGATAATGAAGTTTTTCGTCACCTCAATGCTTATGTGGATGGCTCCTGTCGCAATCCTATATGCTTTTAACCATGACTTGATACCCGGTAAGATTGGTTTCTTTATACGTGATTTTCTTCTTCAAGGTAATTTGTGTATTTAGCCTGAATCATGCCTATGCCAATTGTGTTATTTGTCAAACAAATGCTTCTGTATCTGTCTTTTAGAATTTTTGAAACTTGTAGGTGTTTGATCCAGTTCTCATACCTCTTAACAATCTCTAGTTTTCACTTGTAAGTTGTGGGAAAGAAATTTTGGATTCTGATGTTAACTTGTTCTTTGGCTTGTTACTAGTATTCATGAGCTCCAATGTTTTAATTCTGCTAATTTTTTACCAGTCAATCTGTTCCACCTAAACATGTTACAGCAAATGCATCGAATGCTTCTTCTTCTTAACCTGTTACCAGGTTGAGAAAAAAGCATTATCGGGAACTTTTTTATGCTTATGTGAAAGTTTTGTTCAAGTGCTTTGGCTGTTTCAGCCAGTAGCATGAATTTTGTCAAATTCTGTTGTTTCTGTTCTGCTGGTAGGTTTGGAGAAAATAGAACCTGCAAGTTTAGTGATATTAGGAACATGCACTTCTCTCCTCATAAGTGGCTATTGTTTTGTCCTAAAATTAAAATTTGATTGAAATCTTGGAACAGGTATAACCAAATTGTCTCCCCATTCCTTGACACTGTTGAGCGGATTTGTTGCTGTCATTTCCGTCAATATAGTCATCGCATTCTACATTTATATGGCAATAAAAGAACCCTCAGATAAACACGAGCCAGATCCAGCATTTCTTGCTGAGGCCAAAGCTAGTGTAAGCCAGTCTGCAGGTAAAGTTGGGGATTCCTCCCAGTCGCTAAAGAAAGAAGAGTAGGTCGGATAAGGCACTTGGAGGGGGGAGGGCGTGGAATTGAAGTTGAAGCTGCGCATGCAACTTTTCATCGTTTGTTATAGATGCGTGAGTTTTGAAGCCATTGTCAGAATTTTCTGATATCATGACGTTAATTCTTAGTGTTTGATACTGTAGTTATTTTTGCGGTTGTGATTTTGAGAAAAACAAATTTAAAAAAAGTTATAAATTGTAGTTTTTTTCAAATCCTAGTTTTTATCCGCCCGCAGGGAGCTGAATGTACTTAACCTTTTGCCTTTTCATACTGATCTCATTTTTGCATGGCATATTAATTGGATATAAGATATTAGCAATTATTAACTGTTAAGCATTTTTTGTGTAAAAGATGCTAGTGAAGATATAATTAATAATTAACCATGCGAGGATGAATAGCTCTATTGGCATTTACTATGTTGTTTTGAATAATGTCTGGTTATGGCACAATCCTAACTATAGCAGGGATAATAGTTCTCAGGCATCGTGCCTCTAAGTTCTAGCGCAAGCTAACTTTCAAGAAGAGAGAACTGGAATAATTTCGCTCACCTAAATACATTCCATACGTTGCACGATATGATATCTGTATTTTTTTCTTATCACAACTAAAAACACCAAAAAACTGAAGGTTTACGTTTGCTAAAGGGCCTGCTCCCTTGTTGGGTCAGGATTTAGTCCATCAAAGATGTTGGCAGAACAGACAAAGGTGGTTGTGTGTGATTTGAGAAGCAGAACACTTCCGGGCACCCTTAACGAGACTCGATCAGAAAATGGACTGCTGGAAACAATTTGAACAAGCGCAAAGAGAGCTTCTATGACCATGATAAAGCTTCATCAATTCAAACAAGCTCAAACATTTACTCACTCGGCAATTCCACAACACTGCCACTACATACTATGAACAAATCCTCCTGCAAAGTAAACAGTGAGCCAGATCCATTTTTTCAGAAAGATACTCCTTACTGTTACTTTTATTTTCAATTGCAGCAACTGAAGAGCGTTTACATAATGGTCATAAACAATTTAATCTCATTGACTTCCAACCAATCCCGTCCAGAAACCAAAAGATCTCAATCTGTTACATTGAAACAAAGCTTAGCCTCATCCCAAGGGCCATTGATCTCAAACTTGTATTCCTGAATTCTTATGAGCCAATAAGGACAGATAATGGTTATAAACAACAAGAAACCAAACAGTAGCATGAAAAGTAGGTGGTGCAGTGTATAAACCAAAGCCAGGGTCACAACCATCAACCCAAAGGAAAACAGAAGGTGCAAGTGGAAGGAGAATTTCTTGATACAGTAAGTGACAAATGGAGCAAAAAGGAAGACTTGCAACGAAAATAGCATGATGGCAAATACATGCAGCCTTGATGGAAGACGAGACGCAATAAAAACTGAAGCGACAACAGAAGCATTTAAAGATACACAACTGGTTAAGCTTGGATTTTTTAGGGCCACAGGAGCTTTAATGGTCGATCCTGAATAGTCATGCAGGAAAAGATGAAGCACAACAAGCGAAACAGTTACTGCCCAAATGGAGTCTGAGCTTATGGATCTTGTGAGAGTGTGATAAATAGGAGCCAGCATATATAACCCAGTTGTGAAAAAGGATATATTGAGGATATAATGGAAGAGAAGATTCAAGGAACGCATTTCTTTGGTTAAAAGAAGAACTAAAAAACCTGATCCAAAAAGGCTTGCATCAAGGAGCAAGAGGGAATTTTCATCAAGGGTTGATTGAAGGGTGTGAGCCCAAACCAAGCTGACAAGAGTAACAATGCACAGATACTGAGAGATAGAAACTGAGTCTTGCATCACCTTCAGAATGTCCCGCTTAACAACATTAGCATTCATGACCATATCTTCAAGAAAAGACTCATCAGTGTGATTGTCATCAAACTCAGGCTGCATTCCTCCATAAGCAACTTTCCTCCACTTGGGATGAAGCAGACTCTCGCTGGTGATGCTATCCATTGCGAACCAACAACTCTATTGCTTATCCAACCCCTTGCTTTCAAAACAACAGCAAAAACAAAACCCTTATTCATCTAGAATGAAGAAGGACAGCAACAGTCTTCCAATCTGTCACATGATGATTTCTAAAAGCAAAATACCCCATTGCAGACTGCCTGGATGCTTTTAGGTTCAGCCAGTGATTTCAAACACCTACAGATCACAATCATTATACATCAATGAAAAGAAAGATAAACTAACAAGGACAAGCTACATATACAAGGCTGCACTTGCAAACGGATACATAAGAACTGTGACGCTAGTGAAAATAACAATTCCCATTGCTACTCCTGACCACGAGACCACAGATGAGTTTATCACGTTAACAGTGCTTCGATCAGCTTAACATACAAATTATGAGAAATTCAATCCATATGTAAATACAAACTTATATGCTATCTTACTTTGTTTCACATTTCTTGTGAAATACAGACCAGATGCAAGAAGAAGATAGCTTATCACTAACTAAATTCATGCTTTCGACAGCTTAAACTCGTTTTTTTATTTTTCTTGTTTTCGGAATATCTCCCTCTCTTTTTTCAAGTCCATCTAGATCATCATTTTTTGTTTCAAAAACATCAATTCTTAAAATTCAGTTGCTGAAGAAAAAAACCATGATCACTATTTCCCTTCAGAGCAAAACTGCATTACAATTTCCAATAAAAGAAAATTTACAAATATTGTTAGAAAATGGTTAGAAAATACTGTTAACAGAGAATAGTTTAGAGAACGTGAACAATGCGAAAGCATCTAGAAACGAGATAAAATCAGGTACGTTGATTGTTATTTTGCAATGATTTGCATAGAAAAAATAGTTCATGCCTGGTGAAACCAGATTTCCGCATCAAGAACTGCTTGGGAGAGTGAAATAAAACAAGACGAAGTCTTCACAATGAAATGAGCAATGATAATTGAGAACCATTTTGTGAATGTCGATTCGAGAGATATTTTATTTTACCTGTGAGAAAGAAATCTCGATTTGGGTCCGCTTCTCCGTCGCTTGATTTTCTTCTCGGAGTGAAAAACAGATATGATTTGTTGCCTGAAGAAAACGCGTTTCTTTGCAACACTATAAAAATAACTTCGTGGTTGTGAAACGTTTTTTTAGACAAGTAGCAAATAGGTTAACCTCGTTGATCTCTGTACTACTTTGATTTTGTTAATTTAACCCCTCATCGATGTGATTTATTAATTTGACCCCTGTAATTCATATTTTTTGTTGAATCGGACCACCCTTTCTTCCGCTTTTATCCAATTCAAATCTTTAATTTTTACTAAAACAGCCCACGTGTCATTTTAATATGAGGTCCAATCTTAATAACCCAGGAAAGGCACCAAGTTTGGTTATCTTTGAACAAAATTCTAACAATACTTAAATATAAGACCTTAAAAAAAATCTAGTAAAAAATATGGAAAATATTATAGTGCTTTATTGTTTATATTAGTAGTGAGCACCTCAATTTTTTTTATTAATTTTTAAACTTTGTTTTCTTCCGATTATACTCTTTTACAACCTCATTTGATTAAATTAGGCTCTTTCTTCCCTCTTTTTTTTTTTCAATTTTACCCTCCCCTTTTTATTCTTTCTTTTTTCAATTTTACCCTCCCCTTTTTATTTCAATTTTATTGCTTCACAATTTTATCTTCAAACATTTTTTAAAAAGTCATTCAACGATTAAGTCCACTAGATCATTAGAAAAACTCCTATACAATTAATTTCAAACCTGAACTAGATAAGAAATTGAGTTTAATGGTCCTTTTCTTTTTAAATTTATTTTTTAAAATTTTATTCTTGAAATTTCTTTTATTGTTTGACTTGATTATCTTTAAATTAGTCAAGTTGATGGGTCATATCAAGATAATTTTTATAAAATTTAATTAACTTGATTATCTTTAAATTAGTCAAGTTAATGGGTCATATCAAGATAATTTTCATAAAATTTAATTTAAAATTCAAATTATATAAAAAATTAAATTAAAATATAAGAAGTTAAATTAAAAGATTTCAAGATTGACTTGTTATGTCGAGTTTAATAGTAATATTGAATAACTCTCAACAACTTAGATTATTTCAAGATTGACTTGTTACGTCGAGTTTAATAGCAATATTGAATAACTCTCAACAACTTAGATTTTTTTATTTTTACATTTAAGAAAAACTTGATTTAACCTTAAAATATATAAATATCTAATGTTAATTAATACAAAGTAATTATTTTAATAAGCGGAATAATATATTGAAAGGAGGAAATATTTTTGAAATCTATTCAAGAATTATTGGTATTATTTGAAAAAAGTCTGGAAAATTTTTGTCCATACCAATTATTTAAAAATGAAAGGAATACAAAGTTAAAAAATTATTTTTTTTGTATTTGACCAATTAAATGAAATATAAATAAAAAAAATTCAAATAATAAAAGATTCTCGGTGATGCAAAAATAATCTAACCCTACAAAGGAAGTGATTCAAAAGAGAAACAAAGAGAAGATTCTTGGCGTTGTTGATGCTTCACAAATCCTCCCAAATTGCTTAACAAAAAATGAGTTATTCTTCCTAGCTATCTGCCACATTAGCTGTCCTGGCATTGTCGCCATTTCAAATCCTCTCTTCTTCTTTCCTTGCACACCATGTCCAATTTCCCTGTATTCAATCTTTCACAAACGGCAAAAAACTCGCCCCTGCAATTAATTCCATAGTTAATAGAGTCTCTGAGAGAGTAGGAATGCTCTGAAAAAAATTACAATGAGGTTAACTAGGAACAACTAGATAAGGAATATCATTTTTTAAAACTAATGTTTTTAAAAAATTATTAAGATTTTATTTAATTTATTGAACCCGTCATTTAAATAATGAATTCTATATTATTTTTTTAAAATTATTTTTCATATAATTATATAATACGTGTGATTTAGATGTAGATTGAACTTGACTTGATTAATTTGTTATTTATAAAATTATTTTATTTTTTAATCACATTACAAAAATAATTGTTTACAAAAAATAAATATCAACTAAATATTAATATATTTATTTAAAACTATAATAAATCTTTAATGATATAAAAAAACAAATATAAAAACTAAACATCCATTTTCTTGGATAGGCAACTACCCTTCGAGGGCACGCCTACTTTACCTGGTTTTTAAGCAAAAGAAAAATCTAAGAAACACGGACCTCAAAAAACTAATTTTTGGTAACAAAAAATAAATAAAGGTAGAAAAACCAAATGAAAGAACAAATAAAAATTCCACACGCTTGGGCATGTTAATATTTTTTTTAAATCTTTTTAGCCTCATTTAATTTAAAAAAAAATAGTAAGCAATGATGCATCATTTGTTGTTATAGTTTCCAGCCACCAGAGGTAGATATAAAGATAAAAGGACCTAATCATAATAAATTTTTGAATCCGATCTGTTTTTTTAGACAAAATAAATAGAAAAAGAACCTAAATGCAACCCCCAAGAAAATAAAACCAATTGACATCAAGACCGACGAGTTTCATCTTCAAAAAATGGATATTTTTCAATTTTTTCTCTCATTCGTTGTAATATGACAAACTCTCTTCCTCTTTTTTCTCAAACTCATGGACTCAAATGGGAAAAAAATAAAGTTTTGGATCTAACAATGTAATATCAAAACAAAAGGGACCACAATAATTTTTGTTAAAACTCAAAGGCAAGCAAATAGAAAAAAGCGTTGACACATTAATTTGTGTTTCTAAAAGGTCCTTCATATATTTAAATAATATAATTTTGGTCCTCTTATTTTCAATTCTTGCTATACAATAAAGTCATGTTATTGTTTTGTGATATTAGGCACGAGAAAAATATGGAGATGGGCTTTTATAATTGAGATAACCATTAAAAAAACAAATTAAAATAAACCATCAACTTCAAATCTCAATCAATATAATATTAAATCTTCCAAGTGAAAAGGCAAAAAAAAACAATGACTAAAAGGTGAAAAATTAAAAAGGCCCGTATGGACACTTTTCTAAAAAGAAAAAAAAACAAAAGGCCGTTTTTCATTTCCTTCAATTCTGGTTTCCACTTTTAACTCCTTGCAACCAAACAGATTGATTTTTTTTTTAATAAACCGAGCATCATTTTGATGACAAGTTGCTTTTAGAGACCTTAATAATCATATAAATAGCAATAAAAACCAATTATCAATTTAAAATCTCCTTCAACACAACATCAAAATCATTATAAAAGGCAATTAAAAAATAATTACCAGTTTAAAATTTAAATCAATACACTGTCAAATAATTATATTGAAAAAAAATATAATAACAAAAAGTAAAATAAAATACTATTGCAATTCAGAGAGAATTGTATCATAACCTCCCTATGGTAGATTGTTAAAGCTATTTTAGTTTTTTTTTTTTTTAAGCTTGAACAAGGATGCTCTACATAGGTCAACACAGAAGGAAAAAAAAAACAAGAGTTATTATGAAAATTGTATAGATACAAACTCATTACACTGTAAATTGAAATAATATAATAATATTTTTCCTCTCCGAAACAAAAACTAAATGAACTGACCTTTGGAGGCAAAAAAGTATTTTCCACATGATACATTTATCATTATAAAATTAATTAAGATTATAAAAGTCCGTCTATTTTATTTTTATACAGAAAAATGACATAATTACCTTTAAAAAAACAATTATCAGGTTGCAAGGGCTCTGACATCTCTTTTTTTTTTTTAAAAAAAAAAACAATGAATTGACTTCAATGCTCTTAAAGAAAAAAATTGTAAAGCTAGCTTTCAAGGGCTTTTCTATCATTTCCATTTCCATTTGGTGTGTGTAGATATACATACATACATATATATATATATATATATATTTTTTTTTTTTTCTTAGAGTAATGTGTAAGTTATCATCTGGTGGCCGAACATTACTTTTTATGCGCGACATTTTATTTATTATGGCTTGCTCTGCATGTCTGAGCAGCTTGTGGTTGGAAGGGCTCCGATTTGGCGCAATGACCTTTTCCTCATTTTTCTCTCCATACTCCTTGATTTTCATATTTACTTTCTACTTTTTTAATCAACCATTTAATTTATTTTTCCTTCACAGTTTGTCTGTGTTATTTTAATTATTATTTGTTTTATTTTAAATAATTTATAAAATTAATAATTTTTTTTCAATTTCATTCCTTTTTATTTTTTTCAATTATCAAATTTAATTCTCATTATTTTGATTGTTATTTTTTTTATTTAGAATAATTTTTAAAATTGAATTTTTTTTTTTGCGATTTCATCCTTTTTCATATTAAATTTAATCTTTATTTTTCTGATTGTTTTATTTTTGCTTAAGCAAATTTTTTAAATTGATTTTTTATTTCGTGCTTTAGCATTAAATTTATCAGGAATTAAGCTTTTTAATTGACCTCGGGTCTAGATTCATGGGTTGCAATTTTTAGAGATTAACTCAAGTTTAGAATATTCGCCAAGTTTGCTTAAGTTTTTTTTTTAAATAAACTCATATTTTTTCAGTTTTATCCCTTAATATTTGTTCAATTAAAGACTGGGCTCTATTATTTTTGTTTGTTTACATTTTATATTATTTTTTATTAATTTTGAGAATGGCCGGGTTATCTCATGTGTTTTTACTTTTATTTTTTATTTGTTAATTTTAGTGTTTTTAGAGCATGTTTTTGAATTAAATTAAATTAATTGATTAAATATATATAAAAATACTAGCTTCACATCAATTTATTGGGTTTGCCTTTTGGTTTGTTGTTAATTTTATGGTGTGCGTGGCTTCTTTCAGTGTTGTCATGAAGTGTTTCATTGTAGTGTTAAAACCATCTTGATGAACATTTTCTTGTGGCCCGGAGATATCCATGATAAAACAATGATAAGTCTCCAATGAACTTTTTTTTTTTTTATCTATTCTCGAGTATGGTATTAATAACTTATTTTTTTATGATTAATTATTATTATTATTATTTGCTTTGAATGTCTTTTTTTAATTGTGTTGTTAAATTAATTGGACTTATTACACCAAATCAAGTCAGTAACTCGAGTCTGAGATCTCTTTTACTTATTTATTTAAAAGTGCTAGCATTGCATGTGTATTTTTTTTATATTAGGAGTAATCAGTAATATTTTATTAGTTATTTTGCGAGATTATTTTAATAAAAAAACACATATAAAAAAAGAAAAAAAATAAAATTCATGATTCATAGAAATTAAAAAAATATCTTCATTTAGCTTAAGTCCAAGATTTTTTGCTTATTTAAAAAGATAAATATCTTTTTATATTAAAAAAAATATAATCCGTCTCATGATGCAGCTCATGTCATACCTAAGTATTGAGATATATTTATGGACAGTTGAAAAGAAAATTTTTATACTGTCTAAGAAGCAATTAATAATATCTTATTAATTATTTTATAAATTTATTTTAATATATATATTTTAATATATATATATATATATTAAAATAAATTTATAAAATAATTAATAAGATATTGTGGTGTGTGTGTGTATATATAATTAACATCAAAGTAATAAAAATAACTTCGTCTAAATTTTCTCTCTTTAATTTACATGTATATTTTCTAAAACAATGGATCGATATTTACTTATTGAGGACTATAATTACAAAAGGGTGAAAAACCTCCAAGCTGATGTGGCAACCAGTCTCCTGGAGATTCCTCATTTAAATCAAGGAAGGAGATCCGACCCGATAAAAAACACAGATTCATACACAACCAGAAGGCGAAAGGCTGGAAAACCAACAAACCCTAAAAACAGGAAAGAACCCCAAATTGTAGTAGAAGAAAAATCAGCTGCTCCTGCAGAAAAAAACGAGATTTAAATAGAGATCGAGAGAGAATGGGAAAGAAGAAGAAGAGAGTATCATCAAAAGTTTGGTGCTATTACTGCGATAGGGAATTCGATGACGAGAAGATTCTAGTACAGCACCAAAAAGCGAAGCACTTTAAGTGCCATGTCTGCCACAAAAAGCTATCCACTGCCGGTGGCATGGCCATTCACGTTCTCCAGGTCCACAAAGAGTCCGTCACCAAGTAAAATCCACCACCGCTACTCATTTTTGTTTTTCTCTCTCTCTCTTTTTAAATAATGTCTTGCCTTTTATTTAATTTTATTTCTTTAGACGGAGAATGAGATAAATTAGAACCATTGATCATTACTTTTGATTAATTAGGTTTTCATTAATTGATTTGGGATTTACATTATTTGGATATATTTTCAAAATCATGTGTTTGGCAATAATTAGTTGTTCATTGGAATGATAAATTCAACTGCTAACAATACATGTTGTTTTAAGTTTTTTTTTCCTGATGCTTTAATGTGGGATTCACTAATAACTGACTAGAGGAGGAGGTTTTTTTCTGTAAAATAAAAAATTTATATTGTTTTTTGGATTTTAGGTTTCTTTTTCAGGATTTTGTGCTGTTTATGTTGTCAATGAGGTTTACATTGATTTAGCTAATTATATGATGGCTTTGGTTCAGGGTTCCCAATGCAAAACCTGGAAGAGAATCAACTGATATTGAAATATATGGAATGCAAGGAATCCCACCTGATGTCATGGCGTCTCACTATGGAGATGACGGTAAGGAGGTTGACTGATGCTGTTTTCAGTTAGTTACTTCCTGTAATAATTTGTGCGAATGATTACATGTACTTGCTTGTCATCATTACTATTCAGTTGATCGAGAAATTTGTTAGTTTTTTCAATCTTTTCGTCTTAGAGATCTGTTGTTGTTGCTGGAATTGAAACGTGGGATTTTAGACCTTTTTATTTGTTTAGTTATTTTATTCCCTTGACTTGTGAGGTGGTAAAGTTTTATTCAGTATAAACCAGTTGTACCATTTTTTTCAACTTTTGCAATTTCAGGTAGAGTTAAAGTACAGTTGAATTCTAGTTTATTGTAATACAGTCAGCCTCTTTTATGACATTCAAGCGATATATGTATCAGTTCTGAGTCCTCTCACAATTTCTGTAACTGTACAAAAAGTTTAATATGTAGAAGTCGTGGTATTTATCACAAATTAGGCATACTTCTCACGGATATTTATTTTCTTGTAGAAGATGAGACTCCATCAAAATCTGCTAAGGTGGATATTCCATCAGCTCAGCTTATTGGTGGTATGATGCCTGGACAATTGAGCACTGGATATCCTTCACAACCTCTTGGTGCAATGCAGCCAATGTATGTTTTTTCGTTTTTCTTCTCTATTCTTTATTATTAGCAGAGATTACCATATACTTTATATGTATATCTCCATTTTGAAATATGTCAATTCTTTCTTCATCATCACAGTAATTGGAGCTGTGGAAGACCGATTTTGAAGCAATTTCTGCTTGCTTTTTTTTATATCACAAAAGGGTTTTTCATTTTTCTTAATGGAAGTGGTTGGTTGAGAAGGATTTGTGCAGACTAAGCTGCCCGAATAAGGATATTGTCATTTAGTTCTGTTTATTTGAGCATAAGGCAGCAAGGGATTAAACAAAAAAAGAAGGCAGCCCTCATCATCAATTTTCCTTTCTTGTTTTCCCTTCATGATAAGTGTAATATGCCCTCATTAAACCAAGTACTCAAGGATTCTAACAATCTTGGTCTTATGCCTTTATTAAACCAAGTACTCCAGGATTCTAACAAACTGGATTTCATGCTTATCAAAATATGGTTACTATTCGAACTTTGACTGTTATTAAAACTATGGAAGATCAACTTTGACTGTTAGTAAAGAATGGAAGATCAACTTTGACTGTTCATAATAACATAATGGGGTTTTCTTGCTGAACTATCTTAGTTGGCCCTTACCGTTTACAGGTAGCGCTGCAGCCTTTAACTTCCTGACCTGAGAACTTACCCACTTTCTCACTCACAGGCACTGGAATTAGATCCCTTTCATGCCTTGCTGTTTTAATTGAAGATGCAGCTACTGGTTGAATAAGGAGATTTATACTATAACATATATATCTATATGCATTCCGTTCTGATTCCCCTCAGAGTACCTTCATAGTTGGAAGGAAGGTCCTTCTATGCCTGTCAGAAACATCAATGCATTTATATGGCACAAAGCCTAGCTATTTGAACTTTGACTGTCATGAACACCGTCTTGTAAATAATGGAAAATGAACTTTGAATATTGATAAGAATCTAATGAGTTTCATGCAAAAAATATATACTGGGGTTCATGTTTATATTAATTATGATTAAGTTTGAACTTTGACTGTTATTGAAACCATCTGGTAAAGAGTATAGGGCCAACTTTGATCCTAGGTAAAGGCTCTTGTACTCTAGGTCCAAGTTAATCTTTTGAAGTATCATCTTTTGCAGAATTTTCTCATGATTCTGTTTCAATTTTTAGGATCTGTAGCATATACCCCCACTAATTGTGTGTTTAGTTTTCAAAACCAAGTGAATCTTACCCTTGTCTGACATTTTGGGGTCCCCATACAGTAAACAACTGATTCATCCTCTGTGGCAGTATTAAGCTGCAAGTATATGGAAAATATTGTGATTAGCTTCTCATTATATCTTTGTTGGTTTTGGCTACAGGTATAATTCTGCTGTTCCAGTTCCTCCTGCTGGTTGGCCAGTTCCTCCCCGTCCACAGACTTGGTTCCCAACGCATCCTGCTGTTTCAATCTCTCCTTCTGCCCCAATTGCATATGCCCAGCAGCCACTGTTTCCTGTGCAAAATATGAGGCCTCCTGTGCCATCAACTGCATCAATTGCACTCCCACCTTCACAAGCACCTCCTCCTGGACTGCCCTCATCCACACCACCTGTATCACAACCATTGTTCCCTGTTGTCAACAATAACTTGCCTCAAAGTTCACCATTTTCTGCTCCTTTGCCTCCAACAAGTATTTCATCGAGCTCTCCTGGAGAAGTTAAAGGTTCAGTGAATGTCCATTCGGGAGTCAATAGTTCCATGACAACTGGCTACCTTCCAGGTTTGATAATGGTTCCTTGTTATTAATAATATCTTTTGTGTCAATTTTTGACATTGTTGATTTAAAAAAGTGTTCATTTTAGTGTTTGTAATGATAACTTTAGTATTACATTCATTCTGGCACAGGATCATACTCTTATGATTTTTTTTAGGATTGGTCGTATCATCAAAGTTTTCATTTTGCTCACTGAATGATAATGTCTTATTCTCAAATTTGTTTACTGTGGCTGGGACATTAGGCAACACACATTCTTATGCCTCTGGTCCAAATACCGGCGGCCCTTCTATTGGACCGCCCCCTGTAATTGCAAACAAGGCTCCTGCCACGCAGACAGCTGTTAACGAAGTCTATCTAGTTTGGGATGATGAGGCAATGTCCATGGTAAGTTGTTTTTAGGTTAATAATTCTTTCTTTTAGCATTGCCTATTAGTTTGTTTGTTTGTTTTTTAGGTAGCTTTTATGGTTGTGGTTTTTTTTAAAAAAAGTAAGTTTAAAAAAAGTGCGGTTAGTTGAATTTAGATACGTGTTTGGTAAAAATTATGGTTGAAGTTTATATGTAGGAAAAAACATGTATAAAATGTTTGGTAGAAGTGTGGTTGTGGTTGCTTTTCAAAGTGTTTTTTACTTGGAAATGTATCAAAATAATATATAAATTTTTTATTTTTTAAAAATATTTTTGATATCAATGCATCAAAATGATCTGAAAACATAATAAATATATCAATATGGAAGCAAAGAAAAAATAAAATAAATTTAAATTTTTTCAAAAGTGCTTTTGAAACGCAAAAACAAACAGGGTTTTACGAAACTTAATTAAAAAAATATGTAAAAATTGCTGCACAAAAACTGCGTTTAAACCTTGATTTTTTAGTGGGCTTTGCAGTACAAAACATAGTTTGGTTTGTTACCAAACACCTTGCTGCGTTTGTTTCACCGTAAACGCAAAAGTTGGTGAAAAACAAACGCAGCCTAAATTTTTAGTTGTTAGACCTGTTAATGGTTTGAATATTTGCAGGAGGAAAGAAGAATGTCATTACCTAAGTATCAGGTGCATGATGAAACTAGCCAGGTAAGTTATGACTACCTCTTTAGTATTTGGAGTTGGTTTGCACATCTAACCAGATGGGTAGGCTTTATGCTTTTTGTTTTCAGATACAGTTGTTTATGCATTGTTACCTATTTAGAGAGGTATTTCTGTATGAATTTTCAATTTTTATTTTTCTTAACTCATCAACAAACCCATAGTTATGGCTATGTGTTTAGTCAAGTGTCTCTAGAATTCAATGTCCACTTCCTGATGGTCATGCTGTTTCTGTTTTTGTTTTCCACAATTCTGTGGTTTGCATGCCAATGTCATGATGGCAGTCGATTCAAATAGTTGTATTTGTTATTTATGCTGGTAGTTAGTTATTACCATTTTGACAAAGCTTGTTGCTGGAATCAAATCGAGGATTCTCCTTCCTAGCATCATTCTCAGTTAACAAAAAGCGTATGTATTGCTTATTTAAAATTTGAATTTATTTGTTGTTATTCTTCTCCATATGCTTGACTACGATATTTGGGGATTGGGCGGAACAAGATGATACCCAACAGATTTTTTCTCATTCCTAGCATGAATTCAATTTATTTTTATCGTCGAACAGTGAAGTCAGACTTGGCCCAGGTCAGCTTCTTTCGCAAAGTTTGGCATCTTTCACCATAGGACCAAGCTTTCAAATATCTGGTTTATCCAACTGATTTCTTGTCAAAGTTCATCTCTTAATCTTCTCATTGTTGTTGCTTGTTGCAGATGAGCTCAGTTGATGCAGCTATTGACAAAAGGATATTGGAAAGCAGGCTTGCTGGTCGAATGGCATTTTAGATAACTAAAGACCGTTGGAATATTTTTGTGGATTCAAAGCCCCTCTGACTGCTGCAAAATTCATATAAACTGCACGGGGATCCCTGGCTTCCGTTCTTTGCATCCTTTAGGATCATGCGTGTGCTGTATTCCATACAAGTGAGATACAACAGCCCTCGTTCTTTAGCGTGTAGGTCAACTCTTGAGAGATGGCGGCAACATTATTTGTCTTTTGTTTCTTTTCTCCCTTTCCTTTCTTTACGTTGGTAAAGAAAAATTGTAAGCCTTTTAGGTTGTAGATTTGAGTTTGCTTTTAATGTCTGCTGAAATCTCCCGCCATCAGTTTGTAGAGGTACCGTGTGAAACTTGGAATTGCCTTATGGGGCATTATTGATTTACTTTTTTCGATTGAATAAATTACGGAGTTTAAGTTACATTATCATTGAATCACAATGTGGTTTTGTGGTTTTCATTTGATGCAGTGTTTTTGAGGAGATGGTGTATAACAAACAAATTGTATTTCATTAAAGACTGGAGAAGGAGATGCGACGGGGGCAGTGCTGCCCAAGTGGTGGTGAGATGCGGGGAAATGAAGTAGCTTTTGGAAAGGAGGATGGGGGGTTGTTTCGGTGGCGGCTATTAGTCCATGATTAGTGACAATATCAGCCCAATTCAGATGCATAATCTAGGTTGTGTTTGCAGGCTGGAATTTTTTAATGTTTTTTAAATCATCTCACTTCTTATTTGTCTGCTGCCCGGGTGTAGCGCTGCTGTTCCTCCATCTAGAGGTCAGGTAGAAGTCCTTTTTTTCCTCCATATTTTTAGATAGGTATTTTGTCTTCTTAGTTATGGGAATAATAAGGTAAAAAAATTGAATAACCAGGGGTGCTTTGCATAGGATTTTATAGGAAAAATACTAGATAGGCTGTCCAGGTTATTTTTCAACACGCAAGAAAAGTTGTCAAAGCAAAGCAGTTGTAGGTGTTGACTAGTTTTTAAGCAGTGGGAAAAAAAAAAAAATTACACGTTTTTGTTTTTTAAATATAAAAGATTTCACTCTGGTCAACTTGAATTCTTTTGTAAACCATGTGTTCTAGGTCATGACTTGACTTGGTTTAATCACCTTGTATTTTTTTAAAATTATATGATAATAAAGATATATACTCCTATAACAACTGCTAAATCTTTGCTCTTTTTTTTTTTTAAAAAAAATTGATGGGGTTTCCAGAAAAACAAACTAAAATCTTAATGCAATTTAAAAAATAATAACTAAAATATATTTTTAATTAATTTTAAAAAATAATAAAGTGATATATCTAACATGTAATTAGTTATTTGATTTCATATTAAATGACTATATAATGGACAAAAATATATTAAAAAAAAAAGAAGGCCAGTGCTCCACACTCCTTATTAATTGAAGTTCATGCCCTGTGGATAGGCCTAGTAGCAACGTAGACCAGCATGCATACATTTTACTTTTTTTAATTATTTAAATGATTGGATGATGCATCGCTAGTCCATTTTTCTTTTAAAGTATCCATTTTTCTTTTAAAGTAGATGATGTGTCAGTGTTTTACTATCATAAAGGTGGTAAAAAAATTATGGCAATGCATTTTTATTTTGTAAAAAAATTAAAATTTCAACCAATTTTTATCTAAAAACACTTTTATAATTTAAAACTAACTTTCCAACTCAAAAACCCTCTGAATTGGTTTAAAAAACACAAAAATATAACAAAAAAAATTCTCTCCTAACCTTGACCTAATTTTTCATGTGATATGGAAACTTAAAAATACTCTAGTTGCACTCATATCATTAAAAAGAATACTTTGATACCTAGATTGGTTATTTTTATCAAAGAAATTGAATCAACCTACCTCTTATTTTCTTTTGTATTTTTTTAACAACTCACTCCTCTCTTCGAGCCGAGAGATTAAAATATAAAGAAAATAAAATTATAGACTAAACTGTTTAATTGTTAAACTAATGAGTCCAAAAAGGATTTTTGAAAACAACTCCTAATAGAAAATTGAGCAAAAAGGCTTTGACACCAATTTTTTAAAAGGGCTTCCATTTTTTCTTTATTTCAATTTTGATACTCCTAGTTTTATTTTTTTTCAAACAATAAAATTAATTTTTTTTTTTTGTAAATTTGAGCACCAATCTAATGCCGAGATTTTTTTTATATCAAGATAACTACATAAAAAGTAGATCAAAACAAATTATCAACCATTAATCACAATTAACACAACATCGAAGGATGAAATTAAAAATATAAAAATTTGATGATTGAAAGCAAAAAGAAAAGAACAGAAAAGAAAGAAAGAAAGAGGACTAAAATTGACACAATAGTTTTTTATAAGAAAATACAAAAGGGCTTTTATTTTTTCTTTGTTTTAATCTTGGTCCCCTCATTTTCAATATTTTTCAAACAATAAAAGTAAATTTTGTTATGTAAAATTGAGTTTCAAATTGATGCTAAGATTTTTTTAATCTTGATAATCACAACAAAAAAAAAGGCAAATTGAAATTAACAATTAACCCAGATTTCAATTAACACAATATCAAATGATAAAATAAAAAATTAAATTTTAATAACTGAAAAAAAAGAGTAAAAAAAAAATGTTCCAATCTGTTATGTTTTGTGTGTGGAGGCATTTTATAGGTTTTTTTGTCTTGCGTATATAAAATTTTTGCATGATAGACATTGTTTTCTATCATCCATAGTTATATTTTTGTTATGCCTACTAGCACATACGAACACCAATAAAAATAAAAATAATCATCACACAGATGTGATACACCGCCTTCTCCTATAATCATATGTCGGACATAGAACCTTGGACACAACAACATCAAACCAATCGGTGAGTCACTTTGGTTAGCCAATAATATGATTCCTTTCTCTATGAGAAAATTACAAGCTTATATGTATAAACACATCTAGTCACTAACTAGGAAAAAAAAAGGTTGGGGCATGATAATTTTTCTAGCATACCAAGTTCATAATCCTGTAATGTCCAAATATGCTTCCTTACATCTTCCATATGTTTTCTCTCTGTCTATTATTTTCTTCAAATGTACAAATACTAACTTAAGTATCGGAGTGTCATTTATCTTAACAGGAGAATACAAGAACTAGTTATCAACTCGGTTTTCCAATTAAAAAATTAATTTTTATATGTGAAGATCTTTTACAATTAATTTTTATATGTGAAGTTTTTTTATGACTTTATTAGTGACACTGTCTGTGAGAAATTGAATGAAAAGCCAATTCATCCCCCTTAACTATTGACCAAAACTTTTTTTATGGTTGATGAAATCCTAGGACAAGGGAGATTAACCAGTCTTCTTATAGAGACTCCAAATCCTCTAACTAATAACTCTTTCATCAAGTGCAAATGTTCAACAATGTTGTTCTAATTATTTAAAAACAACTTCATGCTTCTCTATTTTATTAACATCAATACAGAATTTAACATACAACTCTATCATATACACAAGCGTATAGAGCTAACTCTAGTTTCATGAAGGAACAAGATAAAATGTTATGTCAAAGAGGCATAAACTCTTTAAATGAGATAACACTCCTTAATACAACCTAGTTATAAGTGTGACTATCTCCATCAATCTCAATTTAAATCTCACTTACATTATCCTAAACTAAAAAAGGTCTAAAAGCAAGATAAGATAAGCTCTTAGAAAAAAAAACTAGTCCCACGAGTTCGGAGACTCTCCACTTTGTCATAGAGTGTTGCACATTTACCTCCTTAAAGAATATGTCATTGCAAATGCCAATTTAGATAACTATGATGGCTTTGCAGATCATAAAAGAGCGCATACAAAAGAGTGGTGCCATATACAATATTTTCCTTATAATTTTTTATGAATCTACTAGGGTGTAGTATCATAACCTCAAACCTAATAGTATCATTGGCCTTTATGACCTTTATATTAAACCTTACCTTTATTTTAATATTAATACCCCAGCTAAAAAGAGTATAACTAAGTTTTTTCCCATCACCTAATGATAAGATGAAAGCATTAGGGTATATCTTTAAATATTCAACAAGGATATGCTAAACATAAAGAATTTGCTTGAACTTATCACTACTAAATCCTTTATTAGTGGACTTTATAACTTCTCATTATAGAAATGCTTGTAAACTCTGTATGACAAAACTCTTATCAATGTGAAATAAGTAATGAAGAACTATATTCAGGTATGGAAGTCAACGTGACTAGGCAAAGTCACCGTCACTTTTATAAGGTATAATCTTCATAACATCACTAGTTTCCTACCAAAATATCAAAAAGGAACACCAAAAGGCATATTCATGATCATTTGATATTCTTTAAACTCTTGACCACATCTCTTACTGCTACACATGCTAAGAAGTTGGATGTCATAAAGAATAGAGACTTCTTGCAATACCTACCTCAAATGAAAAGTGGTTCAAACACGAGAAAACCTAACAAGTTCTATATATTCCATCATGATTATTAATATGACACAAAAGAGTGTCATACATTTTTTTTTTAAAAAGGTAGAGAGATTGATCTTCAGATGATACCTTTAATAATTTATAAAGAAGAAGATACAACCTGAAAAATAAAGAAAAAACATCCTCATGATGCACTGCCTAAGATAACATAAATTTTAAAAATTGTATCTTTATTGTCTTTTAAATTTGTCAAATAAAAAATAATAGTGCTTCTCTTTGGCTCCATAAAAATCTTCATGTCTCCAATGAAATGTCTCCATGACAAAGTCTCCGTATAAATTCTCCAAGTATTCATGACAACTTATTTTAAAAAAAGGATTGTGGATCCTTATTAGTTCTTATGACTAGTCATAAATATATTTTAAAAAAAAATATATTCCGAAACGCATTCACAACCATATAACTTTCACACTCATTTTATATTACTATATTGTTTCTCTTCACAAAAAACATAGTTGAATTCTTCTCCTTCACAGAAACATGGATAAAATTTGCATAAAAAAACTCTTATATAAACACTTCTTGCAAGACAAAAAAATCAATGTTCACACGTTTGACCATGATAACCCTCTCGTAGTCACAACATGTACAATTTATTTAAAATAAGTAAGTTTTCTTATCCCAATTCTATTAGCCAAGTCTTTAATACATCTATTTAAAATAATCAAGAGAAAAATAATTATGAAAGAAAAAAATATTTGGGTTGTTTGGGCCTCAACCCAAATAGCTTTGGTTGTCTAAGTCAAGCTTAGGAGACCAAACCTAAGCACTTAGGCTTGACTTAACAATCATTACAATTTTTTTTATTTTATTTTTAGGTCTTTTTTTTATTACTGCCTTTTTATCTCACATTTATTTTTTCTAGTATTAGCAATTTGAATGTGTATCAGATATTTTTTTTCTTGCTCATAAAAACTTTTTACATGATATACATCATTCTTC